GCTGCCCTCGACAGGTTATGGGCCCCGAGGTCCACCCTCCTTTGACGCCCGTCGTAACATGCGCCGTAACTGGCTGCAAACCTCGATGTTGGCTCAGGAGGTGGTTGATCTCCGACTATCTGGAAATGAGGTGGTGATCCGATTGATTGTGCGTTTTACACGCTGCAACCCTCTTTCTTTTCTCTTTAATTAGATAGTTTATCGATCTGCGCGTTTTATCCGCTGCGATCGTGTTATTCTTTTTATTGCGATTTTGATCTGCGCGTACTATCCGCTGCGATCCTAATCTGCAGGTTGCTCCCATTGATCTGCGCGTAATCACACGCTGCGATCTTTGTGTGATCACCGCTCTGCGCATTGTTACATGCTGCGATCGGACTGATCCATAGCTATAACCTTGCGATTAGTTGATCTACGTAATTATTCTTGTTGTAATTAATTTTGCGCGTTTTATCCGCTGCAATAAATATACACATTAATAAAATCGCTGCGATCATTACAAATCCGCATAATGCCCCCGAAATTAGACCCGCTGCAGTGCTTGGTGCACAGCGCGATTTATTTTTTTACCAGTTAATTTGCTGCAGTACTTTGAGTACAGCGCGAATGCTAAACAGTACCGGATTTATGTGAGCTTTGAGCTGCATATCTGGGAATTGGATAAAAAGCATGTTAGCTTTGCGCTGCGTGTTTTGATGTCACCGTTGAGTAGCGCCCCTGTGGCTGCTTTTTACTCTTAAACAGTGTAGGACAAACACTGTCGGTCCGACTCTCCAAACCTTTTTACACTTTTATTAAAAAGTTGTACGCTTTAGTTAACTTATCCCCGCCTAGATCTAGCATCTTTTGATGCCTCAAGGCCAGTGGAATGTCATTGTTGACGGCCGTATTGCCAGTCACTGACACTAAATGAAGTTTTACTTCTTTAGACCTTTTTTCGTCTTTTACGACGATTTTCCACCAGTGCCGGAGATATCAGGTATACCACGGCTTCGGCTGTTGGTTCTTTACCTTAGATAGCTATCAATCTCCCGATACACATCCCGCCTCCGCTCATTACGTTTTTACGGCCACCGGCATGGTCTTTACCATTCCAAACCCTTTTATCAGGTGATGCTATTAAGCTCCCTGATTGGCAACTCTTACGTCATGCAGTTTAATCGGATGCTGCTGTTCACTTTGAACGAGCGCTCTGATGGAAACTTCGGCATGAGTGCCACTGGTTTTTGGCTGTTAGCGGAAGGATGACTTCCTGGCTTCAGATTGCAGGTTTTGCCTTGCAGACTGGTCATTAGGAATGCCACGGTTGATGAGAAGAAGGTTGCGATCATTGATGTCGCGCGTCTAAATACGCTGCAATTCTCTGATCTGCCTATTCAAAGGATGCAATCATAATCTCTGCGCGCTTGGTGCGCTGCAAAAATTTTTGATCTGCACATTACGATAAGTTGTAACTCGCGTGTTTAATTACGCTGCAGGTATCGACAGCAGGAACGGAACAGGCATGCACTCTATGTGCGCTGTTCATCCTTTAATCCTTTGATAACCTTAATTCTTTTACAAAGAAATCAACGATTTCATCAGGGACACCGGCTTAATTGCCAATCCTTGAAAACATTGTCATGTCAGACCCTCAGTCCGGGCCAGAAGGCTGTGGATTTCGATCCCTCGTGGATTGATTAAACTTTGGGAAAGACTTCGACGAAGTTTTCTTGGACCCTAAGACAAAGATAACGACTTTCCTCTATGGAAATGTCTATCTTAGTCTTAAAATCGGATCTCTATATGATCGAACCGGTCGTTTTAAGTCCTAGACGTTGAATCAATGATTCTTTCAATTGGGAACCCTTAAGGGTGATAACCTTAGTGCGAGGTGACGCTCAGCACTTTAAGGGAGTTAACATTTGGTTAGAAGGTTTTTACCTCACCAACAAACGTCATTTATTGGAATTTATTCCTACTAACAGCATGATGTCGCAAGAAATTGCAGACACTTGCATCTTTCCATCTCATGTGACAATACGTCGCCGATTAAGCTATTTTTCGCGATTTTTATAATCCTGCTGAAGAAATATGCTTTTTCACGAATTCTCGAACACTTGAGCATGCGAACACACTTTGTGTTTGCATTAGTGCTTACTTACTCGGACTTCTGTTCGGTATGATCATACGCCACGCGATTGATGAAGCACTTTGCGCCTTATTGAGGCTGCATTAGACTCGTGTTAATTGAATTCACCGTAGACTTTGCCGTTCAAATTAAAAACTGAACACCACTCCGTCGCCTTAATTGGCAGTACTTACCATATTGGAAGTAAGGGGGAGCTTCTTTGTGAGATCACTCCTATATCGGAATGAATGGTGTATCTTAAGTTTTTGCTCCTTTTGGACATGGCAAATAGCGTTACGCGTCTACTTATCGGCTGAAGTATGATCACATTTCGTGGGGTTAGCCTTAACAAGCACCCAGAAATTGAAGGGTTAGCATCAAAGCGCCTTCAGACCGTCTCAAAAGTTGCCATTTTCGGCACTCGATGATGATGGATCCCATTTGTCAATCCTCCAAGATTGATTCCTGACGATGAAGATGATCGACGATTTTACCTCTCATCCTCCTCGCGGTCCTTCCCAATAAGACGGACAGGATTTACGCAAGGCTGATCCCCTTAGCAATCCTATAAGTCCCCCGCTCTTTGCCTTCGGAAGAGGAAACTGAATGTGCCATTTTTTCGGCATCTCGGACCTCATGGCATCTGCGGAAAATAATACCCTCACGGGCTAGTAACATAAATGGGGATAATCGGCCCTTTATAATATGTTATTGCAGATAAACCTACTTAGTGAAAGAATATTGTAGGAACAATAAGCGCTAGTGCAAACCCCGCTTACCTACAATACCAGAATAAGGTTTCCCGAGCCTAGTTCTGTACCTTTACGGTTCTACACTACTGGCGACACCCAACTCTGCACCAAAACATGAGGATGATGGCGAAACTATGCCGGGAAGGGGGAGAAATAATACTTTGCTTTCCAAAGCAATTTTAAAGGAATTAATCGAAAATGCCGCGATAAATCCGCGCTTAGGCATTACCGAGAATTGCTCGCCTGTTAAAGGCTTGAAGCAGGAGGAATGGAAGATAGTTTGCCGAGAAGAATTTAGAGGCACTTCTCTATGGCATAACATCTTTTAAAATGGTAGATCGACCTATTTTATTAAAATGGTCAAACTTTATAAAACCGATGAGTCTTTTAAAGGCGGACTTGTCATTAAGGTTTTTATAGATCAAAGGTTTATACCTCGATCGAGTCTTTTATCCAAGCAAATCCACTTCGAGACAGTGTGACTCGTCCCCACATTGGCAGCGCTTATGTGCAGCGCCTACATGGCAAACTCGATGATGTTGAATTACGCGGAACATCCCGATGGTCCTTAATTCCATTGGATAGGAGCACAAAGGTCTTAATTGACTTTATTTTTCATTTTTTACCCTTTCTCGCCCTCTATGGCTTCGAGCACGTCCCTTTATGGTGACATTCCCAAAACGTAGGAGTTAGCTTAAAAGCATCCTTATAAACGCTACGGAATTTGCTTGATATTCGTCCATGTAGGAACTTAGTTTAGTCCAAACTGGTTCTATTGCGGGCACTTTAAGTCTTCACTTTTTAAGACTAGGCTCAATTTTTATCGCCATTGTCTATGTGGATGACGCCCTGGACAACGTCCTTGTTCATAAGCGAATGTTTATGAAGAATTGGGAAAGTATGGTCCTCATGGCTGCAAATGCGCCTACTTGACCTACTTAAGTGATAAACCGCTGCGACATGCAATATGCTTTGCCTGCGCGAAATTTCACTCTCTACCACGTTCTGTAGAACTCTGCAGCCACTGTCCTGCATTAAAGAGTTTTAGAACATTGTGGAACTTAATCCCATTCTTTTGTTAAAGGTTCTTGATTTTTATCGAAACTCGTCTCTATATTTTGGAGATAAAACATTTTTTACGCTGTGACTAAACTTGCGCAAATTTTTGCTGCAAACCTCGAACTTGATTCGTTGATAGACTCTGCAGCCACAGTCCTGCACCAAAGAGTTAGTCACTTTCAATGTTCACGTCAAAGTACGTCTTTAACGGAAACGACAAACCCCTTTATCCATTTGCGCATCTTATACTGCTGCATTTGTTGATTATTACTTAGTAAAGCTGCCTTCACAAGGCGCTTGAAAAGATTTACGACTCATGGCTGCTTTTAGCGCCACATATGGCTTTGAGTTAACTTGTTCTCGCCATTTTTTTTATTTTATTTTTACTTTTCGGCTGCTCAATCTAGCGCCATGTATGCCATTTTACTTTACCGGCAGCTTCTTAGCGCCATCTACCGGCTGCTCGGCTGCTCAATAAGCGCCAACTTTAGCGCCATTTATGTTTACTTTTTAGTATACAAAGTAGTTTACGCTTGCATTTTCCTTTAGGGAATATTTAGCGAGGGGGAGTGTTGAACTTTGTTCCATTTCCATCTACAATTATGCACAGCCTCTTTCTATATGTAGTATGATCCTATGTCTATGAGCACTGCATGGTCTGTGCACCCTTCTTTACAGTATATAAGGACAGCAGTTACTATCCTTAATACAAGTCTTTTCCCTTTACTGGAGGAGCAGTCGCCCTAAGTCCTTTAAGTATATTTACTAACGTCTAACTTCTCTGTCCCCAGATATGTCGTGGTAGGTCATGCCATTGTGCACTCAGCAGTAGCAGTAGCTGCCCTCGACAGAATCCTAACCCAATTGACTCCAGCTTTGAACCCAAGCATTGGGCTGAAAGAAGGCAGTGTAACACTAACCACGTCACCAAAGCATGAGGTCGAGACCTCCATGCTCAAATTTCAAAATTTGATAGTCGCCTGCCAGTGTATAAAAAAACCCTCCTTTGTTACCATCTCCCTAAGTACCTTGTTGATGTCCGTCGGTGGGGTTCAAAGAGTCGGGGATTGCGAACGCGCGCGCGGATGGTGTAGTTGGTTATCACATCCGCTTAGCATCCTAACAACAAATGTAATCAACTTTGCGGGGGGTGCTGGGTTCAATTCCCAGTGTGTCCAATAAGTATGTGTCGAAATGTTTTTCTTTTGAAAGTCTACTTGGACCGGACTGGGACTATACTTATTTGAATACACTGGCGGCGGAAAATGATGACCCCTAATTCAAAAACTCAATTAGATCGGGTCACGTGGGGGTCATCATTTTTCGCCGCCAGTCTGAGTATTTCCAAAGACTCAGAAGAAAGAAGTTTCTAAGTATTGCCAGGAAATACAACATGTTTCTGTATACCATTGTCTTTGAAGTTTGAGTCAAAAATGCAGAAATCCTCTTTCTATACATATCTTTACGAGGAAATACTCATCAACTCGGGCAGTGTGGTCTTTTATTGAGTTTCATCCACATGTTGTTGTCCCTTTCCTTTCGATTTCGGGTGATTGGGCCATCTAATCTAGCAACTTCCTTACCCTAAAGTGTTTGAGTTCTGTCGAAAGTTTACATAAACAAATCTCGGTGAGACACGTTGCATCTCATGTCGATCCACCTCGCTCTAGGTAGAATACTTCGAGAGAAGGATACACCTCTCCGGTGAAGATGTCGAACTCAGCACCAGATATCCTCAGAACTAGTGTTCGTAACTGGTATATCTGGAAGGGGGTAGAGACTTGCAAAAAAATCTGTGGCACGGAACTACTTCGCTTGGAACCTTAAATGATAAATCCGAACGCGTTCCCTGATACTGTGAAATGAAATGGGATCAGGTTATGCAGCTTGCCCTTCAAGTTGCCGCGAAAAGAATATACTTTCGAGTAATGTTCGTACTCAATTGATGACTCACAGTCCCTTCCCTTTCACAAAAAAGTCTTTCAACGAGCGTCTTGGTTTACATAAATTGACCATTGCCTAGTTGCCACTCGTTCCATCTGTCCTTTGTGTAACCCAAGGGCATTAAAAGCGAAGTTACTCGTGCCACTAACCCAAACTACTCAACTTCAACATCTATTCATCCATCCCGGACGAACGATGACTGCCTCCTCCCAACCTAGTGTTGCCCATAGATCCGGAGCCACTCCGACTCAATACAACCAACCTTCTTCGAATCCTTCCGTTGGTACTGCTACTACTACGACTCCTCCTCCTCGGACCAATGTAGTCAACGGTTCCAGTTCCGGTGTCGACGGTGGCAGTCAGGACATCGAATCCATCATGAACTCCTTCCGTCGTCTCGCCATCTCCGAAGGCCTCTCCAAAAAGAGCAAACGATACAAAGACCTTCGTCGAACCTATCTCGCCGGTGCCGTCCAAGAAGGATTCTCTTTCCATTTCGGATCGAACGAGACGAGTTTGCAAGCTTGGCAAGAGCTTTGTCAGACGATCTTGGGCGCGGACAAGTTGAGAGAGTTGGATTTGAGGAGCGTGAAGAGGTGTAAAGCGGTGGGTGATTTTTTTTTTCATTTCAGTTCTTTCTTCTTTTATTTTGTCATTTTCATTTTTGTCTCCTTTTCTCAATCGTATGTAATTTCGTATCGAACTTTACTTACTCATTGATTAAATGTTCGCCATAGGCTCTCGACGGGGTCTTCGTGAATCTCGTTGATTTGGTCGATGCTGGGAACGCGGGGGCGACTATATGCAAGATCTTTTCTTCGGACAGAGCACTTGCGAACTATATCAAACGTACGGGGAAGGTCTTTCCAAAAGCAGAAGCTAAAAAGAATCCGTTGTTGAGACGATTCTTAATTGTCGTAGGAGGACGTTGATCAAAAGTTTTGGGCGGGTTATGATGAGCGTTGGGCAAATAATGTATCGTGAGGGAGTAATACTACGATTCAGGCTGGGAGGGCCGTACTAGTCGAGCTTTCTTGATACTACCGAGTTGATGAATTTGTAAAATGAGATGATACACGACTAGTTTCACTTGGAGCGCATAAGTCCAAAGTTTGTACTTAGTCTAAAACCTATTAGTATCAAGTCTGTCGATCTCATTATTCTAAGTCACGTATACCCAGCCTCTATTCCTCATTCGTCTCAGACACAATGTTGGGTTCCTGTTCATCCCCATCTCTATCTCTGTCCCTCACCAACAACAGTATTGATGCTGCTACCATCACAATAGCCTGAATACATGATCAATTAACGGCTTGAACACCCGAAAAGACGAAAAACCATTCTGCAGTTCAAAACTCACCCCGTCAATCCAAAAAAATAATGAGGGAACCGTTGATATCGTTCTACCGTGACATAAAGTGCAATCAATATCAAAAGCTATATACCCGGAACTGGGAAGCAACGCAAGACGACTAAAAAGAAAAAGAAAAAACCTACGAAGTAAGAATGCTACCCATCAAAAAGGGTGATATGAATGTCCCGATACTCGATACCATTTCGATAGCAGCCAACGCTTGACTTTGATGTGAAGATTCGACGGATGATGCTACTAGGCTACGAAAAGCGGGTTCTCTACCTGCGGATAAACCGTGAAGCATTACAGCTGAGAGAGATTCAGGTTGGTAATCATGAGGTTGTGGTTCACTGGCAGTTAAGTAAACGAAGACCGAAAAGTAAGGTCACTTACCGGAAAATTGTCCAGGCTTAGTCTTTGCTTGTCCTAATAAAATGAATGCCAGCCCTTCGATGATCCAGGATATGACTACCAGATGTACATCGAGACGATCGGTACTCGTGGCACTGGGTTCCTGGTCATTTGTAGATTCATCTTCCGGAAGTGGTGTGTGCCGAAAGCTCCGTCTTTGATTACGTTGATAAAGTGGTCGAAGTGAACGGACCAAAAACGGGATGAGAATAGTCAGAACGCATGTACGTGTCAAGTTCAAGGCTGTCAAAAGGTATCCAGTCTATATGCGATAAGTCGAAGTTGGTTCAGCGTTAACATGAAGTCTGTATAGAACGGAGAGAGAAAAAGAGTAGAGAAAAGCACTCACATCAGCAGGTTTATATCTGAATCGAGTGGTCAAGAAAACAAGCATCGACACGACAGCGTATCCACTTGCGATTTGGGCCAGGAAGATATGGGCAGCACAGTACGTTAAGCGCCTATTGGGCTTCCCCGAGATCGTGGAATGATTAGTCGACGATGTAAGTAACTTGAGTGGTTCGAGAGCGCGATGTAAAGCAGAGATAGCACTTGTATGTAGATGCAATTCTGTTCGCTGTTGCTGCTGAAGATTGTCCCTCTTTGCTTGTGATAATGATTCCGGAAGAACGAGAATGACGAATATTAGAGACAGGCCATGAATGGTAGCAGCGGTGAAGTATACGGGAAGAACGTTTGAAGTGTGACTAGTCAAGCTGCCGCCGATACTGAACGAGATAGCGCCACCTAGACAGAGTGAATCAGGCTGTAAATAGGTGATGAAATAGAACAAGAGGGTTGCTCACCCAAATTAGTCAGTCCAGTCACTCTGCTGAGGGAAGAAGTCCTAAAGTTTGATCATCGTCGTCAGCAACGAGAATTCCTATTTCTGTCATTTGTTCAAGGTCAAGACCTACCTCTGTTCAGCAGCAACGGTATCAACAACAACAAGTGTAATAACGAAGATGAATAGAGGAAGACCGGAAAAGGATTCGAAAATCTTCCATAGTACTAGACAGAAAATTTCGATCCAAGAATCTCTCACGAAACGGGACGTGATCAAGGACAAGTTGGCGAGCATGCCAAGTCCGAAGAGAACGATTAATGTGGGTCTTCTACCGTATCTTGAAGAAAAGAAGCTTATCGCACTGAAACCGATAATAGCTATCCAGTATCAACTCGTCATCAAGTAACAGAAACAGAACTCAGAAACGTTGAGAAGTGCCAACTCACATCCAATTGCATCTATCGCTGTCATTGCAGTATAAGTAGCGGAGAATGTTCGTTCTACTTCCGGAATTGAACAAAGGTCATCTGGAAGATCACCTACAGGAATGGCTACGCCATGAGATAAGTAATGTCGGCGACAAATATATTGGTGTATAACATATAGAGTTGTGGTCGAAGGAAGCTTGATTGCCAGGCGACAGAGTACGGCGATTGGAATAATCAGAACGGCAGAAGAAAAGTTAGTGGTACCAGTCGAAGTCTTTGGTTGTTGCTCGTGAGGGAGTTGAACGAGCGGTGTACGCTCAGATCTCGTTACTTGGTGGTCCTTGGTATTTGTAGCATGGTTCATCTAGCAGAAAACAGTTGTAACACAATGAAAAGGCCCCTAAGTTCTCGATTGTACCTGAAGTCTGGAGGTTGTATGTACCGAGATGATGGTGGTTTGCTGCAAACCCTAAATCTGCTTAATTTGGGTCGCTTAAATATTACATAATTAAGTACTTGATTTGTTTCGTAAGTTACTGGCGTGTATCTATCTATCTATCTATCTAACCTTTCACTTGGACCTTGTCCGGTTTCATAGACTCCTCCTCTCCTCCTCTAATCTTTACACTTCCTTATCAACGAGCAATTAACGTCTTTATTGTACATCGGAATGGGACAGGATATCTTCCATGACTTCGTCTCGTGCTTGCTGGATCAACGATTCAGCATCTGCAAATCTGGGTTTCGCGTCGAATTCGAACAAAGGTGGTCGCCTAACGGGTGTCAAATGTAAGAGAGGTTGTTCAGAGGTAGATGGTAGATTTGAGTAAATGCCTACAGAATGATTCCATTCCACTCTTCTCCGTCCACTTCTGGTTTGATAGGATTTCCTTTGGCATCCTTTTGAGGCTCCAAAAACATAGTCCACAAAATAGTCGCCATTGAGATGAAGAGAGTGTTATTTGCGACATGGCGTCCAACGCATACTCTATCATATAAAGGTACACCTGTTCAGTGATACATGCACTAGAAAGAGCTGAGCAAGGTACCCACCGTTGGCCAAATCCATATGCGAAATGCCCCTCGCTTGATTCATCCTTCAAGTTACCATTCTTGTCAAGATATCTTTCAGGACGAAACTTGTCTGCATCAGAGCCATAGACACTTGGGTCACGGTTTATAGACCTGAAGGATGATCAACATAATGGTTCGGGTTCAGATATGAATGTATGTACCATGAACTAGCTATGCAAA